GGTCAAATTTAATGTGTCCCAACAAATTCTTGTGTGTATGGGACCTGGGAGTTTTGGTTAACTAGAACCCTGGTGCTTTGACTTCTGATATCTTTGCAGGCTTTGTGGATAATTAAAATAAGTAATCATTAATTTTGTTGTTTTATGTACATATCTAACCTTATTTCATATTACACTTAAATGCTTACTCATATAAATGATCATAATAAATTATTTTTTTAGTTGGCATCATGTTAGGAATAACCTCACCTATGTTGGCTACTTTAGAAATCACTAGAAAGAAAAAAACATGAACTGATACTCCATTTTGTGTTTTATGTTTTTCACAGTTTTCATCTATTTACTTTAGAAATTGTGGACATCATAAACAATCATTGCAAAGGTTGTCCTATTTGTGAAAACTGCCTTCCCAAACTCCCATATTATTGACTCTTTCTCTTTGTATTTGCAAAGAATTTCCAAGTGAGCTTTATTTCATTTTTAGGCTGGCAGTGTTGTATTATGTATGTTACACTGACTGTGCATGGCAGAAGATCCACCTATTGTCTTAGTATTATGCAAAATATCCAATTTCACAGGAGAATGTACACAATGTAAGAGACTATAAAATAGTTTTACACATTTTCTGGGCATTGTGCATAATTACTGTTTGATAATCTGCACATTGACAGGTTGATATGTGAAACAGGAAATATGCACAATCTCCAAATTTTCAGTCAATTTGTATGTATGTATATAAATGTATATAATATAAAATGTATATAAATACATGTAACACTGAATCCTCCAGCAAACCAAGAATTCCAATTGAAACCGAAATGCACTTGAGATGAAGACAATTCAGTGATATCAAGTTTTAATAATATATATGAAAAATTAAAGTAATTATTTAGTGTTTCGTAAAAGCCTAATAAGTTAGATAATAAACCCAGATGAATATGATTTAAAATAAAAAAACATTACTAAAGAGGACTGAAAATGTGTAGTGGTTACATTGCAGTAATTGTTTATCTGGTTATTCTTAACATTGGGTCTTTGGCTGTAAAATACAATTTCAACCATGCTTTATTTCAGGTTATAAAAAGACTTATAAAATCAAAATTTGAACTTACAGAACAATTATGAGCAAGGAAAAATAAAAATAAAATACATAAATAGTTTAGAATAAAACCTTTTTTTTTTTATCTAGTCTTTTCAACTGATTGCTTCAAAAATGGGGGATATTTTTTTGAGATGAGAGTACTACCCTATAGCTATTCATCATATAGAAATAAGTACTGGATGATGTTTGTAAAGCTGTTAACATAGCTAGTAAAAAGTATTAAAAACAGTCCCAAATGTTATATACATTCTTAGTCTACTGTGAATTTCATTAATTTTATAAGAAAGCTTTTCTTGAGAAGTATTAAAAAGAATTGACAATTGACCTTAATAATAGTTGATCACAGGTACATTGCTTCAGCTGGCCGACCATCATATAGGATTGCCTCAAATGGTTCAACAGAGTTAGATCTTAAAATAGGTAACAAGTGTGATCCTGAGGTGAGTTTTAGTCTTAGTTTATGTAATAGAAAAAAAAACACAAATGATTTTTTTTTCATTAAATGTTAGTTTTATCTTTTGTTGTTAGTTGTACAATAATACAAAACTGAATTGCAATGGCAGAAAAAAATGGAAAGATGAGCCAAAGCTAAAACGTTTTACAAAAAATTGTTACTTTTCACTTTGCAGAATAACAGTTAAAAGTGACTTATTTTTAATGTAGTTGATCCTGGATTCCTCGAATATGTAAATTTTATTGTTTTCACTGCAATAGAAATCATTATTTATTTTTCTCTCTTCATGTAATGATGGAAGAAATTATTTTTTATTTTTAGTTAACATTGATTTTATCTTGAAACTAAGATTTCAGTTACAAAAGCCTAAAATGTTTACAAATGCATACTTGGAATATATGAAATACAAATAAATTATAAGAATAGTCAATTTTTAATGTAATTAAAGATTTTTTTAAATAAACTCAAAATGGTAGGAAGGGGACAACTGTATTTGTTTTTATTCTCAGAAAATATGATTTTTGGTCAGTCTAAAGTCAGAAATTTTATTCTTTAGTTGTTTAGAGAGTAGAATTTTTAATTATGCAAGATTGTATAAGGCATTGCTTATGCTATGAACAGTATAAAGGAATGCTCCAGTTTTGGTTTAAAAGTTGTGCACCTTTATTAATAAGTGTCTCAATCCTGTATACAGGCACACATACACATGCAACCACGTATGTTTTATTTTTGTCTAAAAGGAAAGTTTGTTATGCTTAGGTTATAAGTAATTTGAGTATTCAATTTCACAAGAGAGAGTTACTGCTCCTAGAAATTTTATTTATATTAAAGCATCTTTTTAATTGAGTATGTTTTAATAGAACATTAGTCATGGAGTTTATCCTTTGCTTCAATCTGCTCTAAAAGATGTCAATTAATGGAATTTATCTTAGTATAAAGTAAAGTTATAATTGTAAGTATTTTTTAAGCACATTGGACTGATATAGAAGTAATGAAAAAATAAATAAAATTCTCCTACTTAATGCAGAATTTTGATGAAACTGAGGAACAGAATGGAGTAATGTGCATCTTTACTAGTTATGATGGGGATCCAAATTTATTCCGAGCTCAGATCTACAATCTGTTTGGTCTCTTTTGGGGTATGTTCTTTATTGTGGGAGTTGGTCAGGTCTCATTGGCTGGTGCTTTTGCATCTTATTACTGGTCTTTTAACAAGCCAAAAGATGTTCCATCATTTGCTGTAGGACTGGGTTTCTGGAGGTGTACACGGTAAGTTTTGTACTAGCATTGGTATACAACTTTAATCATTCTTTTGGTAATTTTGTCAGAGGAAAAAAATAATGTGCACAAAGATGTACTTTGTGATATATCAAAAAATTGTTGATTTATAATCAAAGAGTACAAGTTACACTAGAGTTAGGGAACAAAGTTCATTAGTTGTTGCTTTTTTAAATGCTGTGATTTGGTTATATTAATAAAATTTCACTGTCTCTTGAAGCTCCTTATATGTTGTTTAAGTATCTTTCAGTTGTGATTTCAACTACTCAATTTTTGAGGAAAAAAATTGTAATATTGGGGCATTTATTTAATAACTCACTCATTTTTTGCCAATTGTACTGGAAACCTGTATTTGGATGTCAGAAACTTTTTGTAAGACTTATTCAATATAAGCTGGGAATTCAAAAATACAGGAACTTATAACATGTATTTTGCTGTGTGAAATTATTATTGTTTAGTACACCATAAAAATGAATATCCTCTATTACAATTTGCATTATTTAAGTAGATGTACCAGATATACATAATAAATTTTTAAATGTCTAGATGTTCTGTTTCTTTAATGCTATATTAAGTATCAATGATGCTACCCAAATTTATTGCCAGTTTATTCTGAAATAGAAATTTTTGTTTGTTTTACATTCTATAATGACCATTTCCTGTGTTTTCCAGCATAAATTATTTCAATTCAGATATGTTGCTACAGTTCTACTTTTCTTTATCATAATTAGTTATCATCTTGGGTCTGTGGCCTTTGGATCTCTTATCATTGCCATTGTCCGAATGATTCGCGTCATGCTGGAGTATGTGGACCATAAGCTGAAAAAATATGACAACAAAGTGGCTAAGTTTGCTCTGTGGTAAGTGAAACATAACTTGAAAGCTAGCTGTTTCCTGCATTGCCTGTAGTGAAAGGAATTGGAATTTAATGCAGCATTATTAATGTTTTTAGGTACTTCAGTCATAAAATGCTGGTAATATTTCACCCTTTTGAAAGCATTTACTGCATTAATCTATATTGTTATTGATATCTAATCAAAAACACCTTAGGTGTGAAAAAAGGTGTGTCTGAAAAAGGATTGAGTTTAACATTTCCATGCTCTGGAGTATCACACAGTCTTACAGTTTGTTTTTAACACTGCTAGTAAGCTTTGTATCCTTTCCACGTACTGTCATTTTTAAGCAGCTTCTATCTTCTATCTGTGTGTTTTCAGTTTATCATAAAACATATTATGGTTCTCTTTATTTTATTTATTTTTTATGTTTTATTTAAGTGATATATGTCATATGTTTGTATAACTACATGGTTAGTATTATAACTATACCATAATATTAGTACAATAATAAAACAATAATAATATTTTACACATTGTTAGATGCATGCAGTGGC